AGAAGAAGCCATGACAGAAACCAACTTCTAGTGAACGCGAAAAGCGCAACATGGCATCAAACTCTACTAGAACTGCAAGGAAGTTAGGTGCAGATTGTGGGAATGGAATCGGGAATCGCTGGGAATGAGATGAACAGATTGGACAAATTTGCGTTTTTGGAACTTGCTTAGCTTTACGAGAAATTTGAGTTTTCTATCCTTGTCTCTTTTCAGGTTATTTTTCTGATGAGAAAGAAATTCAACGGAGATGGGCCAGACGGAAATCACTCGTATGAGCGCGATCTGCGGGAAAACCACTACTTACGTCCCGAAGGAACTTTGGCGGCTTCTTCCTAATGGTCTGGGGTGCCTTTTGTAGCGACGGCACCGTTGGTATTCAATTCACGTCTTGTAAAATGATAAGCCAGGACTACCAGTCACTTCTTGAGAAAACGTTGGTGCCATTCATCAAGAAGAACTCCAACAAAATCTACGTCTTTATGCAAGACAACGCTTCGATTCACGCTGCGCGTAGTACTCTATCCTACTTGCAGTCCAATAACATCCTTTATTGTCATGGCCGGCATGCAGCCCGGACCTAAACCCTATCAAAAATTTCTAGGGTGTATTAGTGCGCAAGATCTATGCAAATGGAGAAGAGCCTAGCCTCCCTCTAAAACTAGTTTTTCTATGAGGTACGATCTATTGTGCACCGCAGTGTATACATGTGTACACCCCGAACAGTCAAGTTAGTAACCATGTTCGACTATCATTTAATCTTGGCATAGTATAGATGTAGCTTTGGAGGTTCCTCTGAAGCCACGACCAAGATGATACAATTTTTTATTCGGCTAACGTTTCGGCCAATCGCCTTCGTCAGAGCCTGGAAGCCAAAGTATACTTGAGACTCATCCTGACCAAACGACGTTCAGACCTCAGTAAGTTCAGGTGTGGCCTATAGATATCTAGGAAAGTATTGTAAATCACAATAGGTAACCCACCTTAGATGTCACAAGAAGACCGTTGACCCTCCTTTTTTTGAATTGCGTCTTTATACTATTTACAGTGGGTGGGCCCGAGTGTCCTGACCCCTACCTCGGAATAGTCAAGTTAGTGTCTCGAAATCTTCGGTAGCTCCCTGCACCACTTACGTATACGGCGGTCTAATGGCTCATCAGACCACAGCTCTATCTTAGGAGGGTTGCGGTCCACCTATCGAGGAATACTCTCCGCGCTTTTGAAGCGGTGGTACAATTAACAGGCATTGTTGAAGAAATACTATAGATCAATAGTTTATCGCTTTCATATGATTATCCGCTGATTCTATTCTTGAGGTGAATGCTCTTTCATGAGGTAAATATGGTGGTGCGGTGAGGCATGATACCACTGCTGTACTCAAAACTCTGAATTCACCAACGACTTGCTTTGAAGTTGCCCCCTATGGAAATTCGTTGTTGATTTGAACGGTAGTGGAAATGACTATCGTGTAATGGGACTCCTACATAAATTCTATGACAACTATCTTTCCAACATATCCGCTAACCTCCATAGGTGGGCAGATGGGTCCGCTTGTTTTGTACGTGATAGTTGCGGCCACATGAGACATCGTAAGTTGTCAATAATAGACTAATTTGAAAGCTCATGCTCTCTTCATTTCCGTAGACGGCACCTGTCGCGATGATATAAAAGGTGTTTCTCATGCTCGAGAAGATGAGGCTTCTTTTGAAACTCGAAGTATAGTAAGGTATAGACTCTTCTACCACCGCTTTAAAATTGAAACTCTAAAAAAAGTTTAAAAAAGTTTAAAGTTTTCGGCGTTAATCAATCCCGTCTGAGGGATGCGCCCCCGCACTCGACTTCCATTCAGAATCGTAGTGGCGAAATGAGTGCGTATTTGGCCTATACAATGACTTGCGTTGGCCAGCCGATGTACAAGTCAGTGCTTTTATCCTCTCAGACAAGTCTGGTACCAAATAACCGACCTCGGGGGGATGGAAGGCTTGGTTGGCCTTGGCGGGCATCGATCCGGGATTCGAACCCCTGACCGTGCGTGTGATATAGTGCGCCACTTGCCACTACACCACCTCCGCCCTACTCTAAAAAAAATTAAATAAAAAAATTAAATTAAATAGAAATAAAACCGGAATTCCTCTTCTGTTCAAGTGTAGCTCCACCCTTATTCGGCCGTTAAGGGCAAAGAAAAATCCCTTGTAATATGTACCTTTTCAGAGTTCCTGAATTAGAGCGGGAGCTCGTCAATGCCCAACTTTAAGCCAAAAACGTTTTGCAAGCGTTTAGGACGCATTTTGTAAAAAAGCAAATTGAGCACATGCATCAAGGAAACGAACCTTGATACCATGTCCCCAGTCCACCGTCCTATCAGCTGTGCGACCTTCGCACAGGAACTGTGTCTGTTTGGCTCGGTAATCCGTTCGATCCTGTGTTATAACACAGGGGGAAGCATCGGTTCCGCAAATTTGTTCACAGAATCGTTTAGCAGATTTGGAACACAGATTTTAGATCAGCGTTCGAAACCTGCTTTAGTGACGGGAGTCAAGAGATTGAGTAGCATAACATCAAAGAAGAATGAGAATTACTAGGAAGTGTGACGAAACCACCACTTTGAAGGGAGAGTAGGCACCTTGCAGTGCCACCCGTTTGAATCGACCATATCATGAAAGCAAGAACACGAACGCGAGAGTCTAGAACAATCTTATCTTCGTCACTGTTTTTTCGATAAACCCCTATCTATAAATTCAGTTAAATACGAAATAAACAAACACTGAACAAAATTTATCCTCTTTCGTGAGATTGCTCGCATTGGAATGTAAGTCTCAATTTGATTGAATCAGAGGAAACTAATGCTCATCAATGCAATGACAGAAGAGAGAAACTATGGATTCACAGGGAAAAAGTGTACACATAGGGTGCATTAGTTCCTGTGAAGAGTGCTCCTCTGGAATGACGTTTCTTGCAATTGCAGTAGTGACCCTGCTCGAAGACTTGCCATTGTTCGCTTCAACTGCTCCACTCCACTTGCAAAGCATCTCCATTCATCCTAAACTTCTAAATGGTATCACCACTGAAATTCGATGAAGGTTCATAAAACAATGTGCTTTATGATGGTGACACAATCCAAAATAGAATCGACTATATCACTAGACTATACCGAATTGGCAATTGGTTCAAACTCATATATGAAAAATACGGCATGTAGTGAACGGAACTGTGATACTTCGAGGATTCTAAGAATGACTGTTAAGAAGATTATCCGCGCGTCCAAATGTTCAATGTACTTACATAAATAATATAGACACCAAAAGCTTGATATCTGCAGTGTAGAGCTCATTGGGTGGCGTTGCCCAACCAAATTCGGCCTACTCCCCCACCTCGACTTCCATTCAGAATAGCCGTGATATAATTGCAGCAAAGTGGCCTCTACAATGACTTGCAGTGTTCAGGCGGGGTTGTTGCTGCTGCTTCTATTCTCACAGATCTGTGGTCGCCTCTTCATCGCAACGAACGTAGAATGTGAAACCTCTTACCAGTTAGTTGAAAATAACAGTGATATCTATATGCACGTTTGCTTACATAATGTACGATAACAAGTCACAAGTACAGAATATCCCCTATTAGCATGGATAGAGAAATAAAGAGTGCTCTCGGATTGTTTGCATGTGGAATGCAGATATCCCTCGTAAACTGCTTCCGTCTCATTTATGAGCATTATTTTAAAGGTCTCCAAAGTAGGACTACAAACTCGACAGGTTCTCTTCTGCTCAGGAACCATACGAGGGAGTCGAAGTAGTTAGGATCTCGAAAGCAGAATATCCACTCCTCTTTGTTAGTTAAGTTGGGCAGCTGACTACTATTGAGTGCGCTTGGCTCTGTATGTTCGAGCACCTTCCTGCATGCATGACTCTGAGCAGTTTTAAGAGCGGGGTCGGATCATAGTACGCATCAGTATGCTTTTCAAGTGCACGCCTTTTCCAAGTTTCACGCTTGAGTGAGTTAGCAACCTCATGAATTTTTGACCCTACAATCTCTACTGAGGTTGCATTTCGGTATAACATGGGAATAGCCATGACGTTTCAGCTTTACAATTCGTCCCATCGAATACTTTAATAAGTCCTGCTTCGTTGCCATTTTTTCGATAGGTCGCAGAAGACAACGATCGACGCGCCAGCGGGCTATTTTAGTCATCCTGTTTCCAACAACACCAGCTTTTCTATCCCTTTCGGGTTTGTCTTGATTGATTGTGCTTCTCTGTATCGTTTGGTAGCCTTTCTTCCGTCTGTCATTATTGCGATTACAGGAAATTTTACTCTGCCCTTCTGCCTCTTGCACGCGAACGATTGCAAGTGGCATTGAATTAGCCTTAACCACCTTGAAGACATAAGAAGTATTACCTTGATAACTGCTGCAAGAAAACATATTTAAGAACTAATTTATAACGAATGTAATAAAATTAAAAAATCATTTCTGCCTGAAGAGTTCTTCAATTTTGGCCATGGCTCCTTACGGGTCATGGCATTGAACTGGGATGTGCCGGAATCTATTCAAATGGTTACATTGTTGCTGTCAACATGGCTACATTGTTGCTATAAGCATACATACTAGTCAAAGATCATGCCAAGTTTAGGAGTAGGTCGATCGTGGTATATTCTGTGAGTGAAAGCTCTAACGGTCGATCGTGGCATATTCTGTGAGTGAAAGCTCTAACATTACCTCTACTGATAGATGTACGTGACTCTCAATCTGATCCTTTTTTGTGTTACCATCCTCCATTTGGCTAATCTGAACAATTTGCATCAGTACTTGTGAGCCTGTTCAACAGTTCTAAGTGTTTGAAGCCTACCAAACACTGCAGATCCATAGCGATCAGACGCAGATCTTCTAAAATCGAGCGTAACTGCCCGACAAAACTAGAGCCCGAAAAGTGCGTCTTATTTTGGAGCAGAAATGCTTCATCACATTCCTGAAGAAGCACGCCAATATGACGCCAATTTTGAGTGCATCTTTCAAACTCCACAAGTTACGTTGACATTATCAGAAGTGCTGAGTGCAGTCAAAGGAACTGATGAGCAGGACATTCCACCTTTGTCACTACAGACTCGGAAGAAAGGATCGACATCGCCGAGGACTTAAATCATCAAAGTTTGCATTATCAGAAAAGGTAACATATGCTGCAACAAACCTTCTTTTGAATTGACTTCTTTCCAACCGGTCGGATAACCTTTCGTTGTCGTTTCTGGGAGCGTAAAATTCATTGGACTTGAACAACAAACTCCATCAAATTTCTAGAAAGTGATTTCTACGTAACTTGTTCTTACTAATACAAAAATAAGGTTCTGGAGAGAAAGAAATCAGCTTGAAACCGATAACAATTTCCCAGTTAGCTGTTCAGCCGTCTTTGGTCGTCAATATGGCTAAAAAGGCAAGAATTTCTGCTAACTCTGATCGGTGTGTGTGTCGGTGTGTTTGTGCGCGTGTGTATGTCGGTGAGTCCGCAACTTTCATTTCTCTAGATAAGGCATTCAAATTCGTAAAAGCTGCGGATATGAGCACTGTTTATACTTAGGAGGACCGTACTTCGCTCAAGGTAGTGGCGGTAGGAGGCTGGAGTAGTTTCGATCGATAGTGTTCAACAGATTCTGAACAGTGTCGAGTTGTTCTACACAATATGGGCTGCTGTTAATTACTCTTTTTTTTCAGACCGAATAGCGGAGGAGGCATGGCGCACGTTAGTAAGGCATTTCAAGTTTACCGCAAACAGGAAGAGAGCCCGGGCTTAGCCGGGCCATCTGACCGATGATCGATCATACGTTGACGCCAATTATGTTCAAATGTCCGCATGATATTTACTGATGCCATGGCAACCAAGTTTGGCAATGTTACAGTTGGGCGCATATATTATCTTCAAATCCATTTAAAGTCAAACGAGGCCTGACAACTTCATTGTCTCCGCTACAGACTTCGATTAAATATGTGACTTGTTGTAGTAGTGTAAACCATCGACGTCTGCGAAACATCTCTCTCCACCACGTAGAATCCAGATGGCTCACTTACAAGATGAAAGAAAAAGGGTTCTAAGTATAGACAAGAAACAACAAGCGGGTGAGACAAGGTTATGTTTGCTTTGAAGAGCTTTTCAAGTTTCCAATTTCGAGACGTAACTAAATTCACGAAAATTCTAGCCTACTTTTGTGTTCTTGTCATCACTCTCCGGGCCATAAGTTTCGGCCAAAGCGCCTTCAGTTCTTCCGCATTCTCCTTCACCGACAAGCCAGTAACGAATAGGTCGTGCATCTGCGTCACAGCCTTTGATTTTAGTGTGTTTAAAATGGGGCACCAACAAAAAACTTACTGCTGATCTCCGGATCACCCCAATGAGATGAACCATTGTCGAATGCAGTCTTCTTTGCAGTGGGATCTCTCCATAAAAGGTCATCATACGGGAGAGAAGCGCTTCCCAAGGCGCCTGCAGCTGGAAAAGGTTGTAAGTTTTTACTTAAAATTGAGGTCGGAAGCTGTTGGTTGGTGCGAGGTCGGAAGCTATTCATGAAACCCGAAGATCCAGACAACTGACTATTTCTCATATGCGTGATTGTTCACAAACAGATCAGTACGAATGCCTTCGATGAAAGGCGTAGCTTTCCCTTGAGCCTCAAAAATATTGCTTGAAAAATCAAGAAAACGTATGATCTCGGTCAAAATATGTTGCAAATCGGGATCTGGAAGATGAAATCGCTTTTTTTCTTGAACTCAGGCATACAATTTGCAAACTACAGAAACGAGCTATTCGTGAAGTAAAGGCACGTCATTCACTGACACTAGGGATCAACTCGGATTTGCTATTTTTCATTTTGAAAAGCCGCTCCCGTTTAAGATTGGTGCATGAACAAATTTGCCCATTTTGTAAAAAAAAATAGGTATCAAAATGATCAGTAAAACATGAGTAATGTAAAGGTCTACTTTTTCTTCAGTTTTGGAATATGATGACCGTCCCAGAGCTCCCTGAATACCTGCAATAGGTGAGAATGTCTTCTGGTTATAATTACAGCAAGCGCCGCTGCTAATGACGTACCCCCAGGAACTTTGATGGATCGAGGACTTCATATTTTACCTTTTTCAGTCTTTCAGGTACCATTTTATAGAGCTCATCGAGCTGAGTTGAGCTATGTAACATTACATGTTAAAAAGTTAAAACTAACCTAGTTATAAAGAAAAGACGGAAAAGACGCGAATCCGCGTTTTTTCGCTTTTCTCGAACAATTAGGGTGGGCATTGTACCTTCCAATCTAGCCTTGATAGTAGGAGCTTCTGGCGGATTGCGGACGAGGAGATTCTTTTTGAGCGGAATTTTGAGCACCGCGCAAGTACTAGGTTGGCAAATAAGTCCTACGACAAAATGGAGACCTTTTTAAATCATTTCTAAATTTTCTCATATCAATCAATTTTCGGAAAAATATTTACCAAAGAAGTCAAGAACCTTCTTTTATCCTTAGAGCCAATCACTGATGCCATCTCCTCAGGAGTGAGGGAGCTGTGACTCAAAGAAGTAATTGACTGCCGTTTTTGGATCACCTTGAATTACCAACTTCTTTTCCACAACGGAATGTTCAAGAAGGCGGAGCGCATGGTAGGTAAAAGGGCAACGCTAAGGGAGTACGACTGATGAACAACCTGGAACCAATCGGGATCTATGAACTTTTGACGTGGGTCTAAAGCTAATTTTTGACGTGCGGTGTCCCTCTGTAGGGACCTGATTTACGGTTTGATCGTCCTTCTCTAACACCGTTGGCCAAGTAAAGCTGATCTTAGGGGCAAGCGATAGCTGTTTCCATCTAGAGTGCGTTTAGGAACTCATAGTGGATTGATTCCTTCAACCTCAATTAAATTAAGGGACGATGCCTGGGTTGCTCCGGAGGCTAGTATCGCCTGCAGTGAAGCGATCCAACCGATTGTTGTCCGTCGATCGGTGAGCAGTGCCAGCATCGAATAGATTGCTGATATTTCGAGCCGTTACACCTGCGTTTTACACTTAGTGTGCTTAGTAGAAGGTGATGGTACGATTCGGGTGTTGCCCATTCATTGACCGTAATGCTGCGAAAGCCCACATGCACGCCTTTACTTACTCATGTGCTGATTGCCTGAGGGATGTCCTATAAGTCTATCACCCTTGCTACCGTGTTCACACTGTTGAAACAAATTTTCAACGCTTCAAGTCTTTTGTCGCAGGGTTTATTTACCAGCCTAATAAAACGCATATGGCGACAACCGATTGATGCGAGACCGGATGCGAACGTGCGTAGCGGCTCCTAACGCATAAACATTAATGTTTCTGATTGTAAACTTGTAGACATCTTTCAAAAAACCTGAAGCTTTATTTACTTCAAATTCACACCATCATCAGCGTTGCTAACAGTAAACTCATGGACATATTCCAAAAATAATCAAGCCTCAATCTACTTTACTTTCACAAAAGCAGCGGAACACTTCTAAGACCTTAAAGCAGCTGTATTAGCCTATAGCACGAGCAGCATTTCAGCTCTTACTAGGCTGATGGCCACTACACGTTCTACGCTGTTGACTCGATTCTTCGCTGTTAGCGTGAGGAATTTTCTCTCTATTTCATAACATGCCTGCTTGAGCCACCTAATAGGCTAATTTTGGCACGGCTACAGGACTCTGTTCCCTGACTGGACAATTATGTTACTGTGAGGCAATGAGATGTGAAGGCTTTTGTTTCAGTCATTTCCTAATCGTGGGAAACTTCCCCGTTTCATATATTTCCTGTTAATCGTCAAATATGTTCATAAAAAGAGAAAACCTATACTACCGTGATTATACAAGAAATTGAGCAATGAAATTGTGGGTGTTACATGGTTCAGGTAGGGAAAGAAAAGTTATCTAAACATAACGAAATCCATTGCAAAATTTACGATGCGGCTCACAGGAACGAAACGCGAAACTCTCGAAATTTTATGGGAGTTGGTTGCAGATAAGTTGGTTTCAACGCCTATGAACTGGGATGGAGAGCCGTCCTGTTACCAGTGTGCTTTCAAGCTGATAGTCCCTGAAGAAGGGAAATTTGACGAAACTTAGCTGATAAGTTTGTTTGAATAACCAAAATTACCAAGAAGTAGTGTTGATGAAACTACCAAAATCATCAGGAAATAGGCTATCTTTACTAGAATTCTTGCAGCCCTTTTAATTCGTAACTGTTGTCACTTATAAGCTGAATATTGTCGCGTTGAAGTAGAGCAGTGCAGATCCTGAAAAAGTGCTTCATTGACTAAAATGTCCCCTGCGATCCCAGTCCAGAGGCAAAGTGTGAGCTAAAAACGTGGAAACTCATCTGGTAGCAACCACTGCATTCGACCCGTTGAGCGTCTCTGAGCAAACCCCGTTGATGTTCAAGCAGTTTTATCGGCTAAGTTCCGTTAAAATCACCTTTTCCAGGGGCTATCAGGTTGAAAGCGCACTGGTAACTGCACAATTCTCCTTCTCCATGGACATAAATTCTGGGAAAGCATATGTTGCTGTTATGATGCCGCCCCTTGTTTGATCAACTTGTCAGGGTAAACGGAACGTAGGTGAGCTTGTGGAAGAGAAATGCGCCACCAAGCAGGACGTAAGCTTCGCTGTCGTCTCCGAACTTTTCTACAATGACACGGGACTTTTGGAAATTTCAGTATTGCCTACATTTTCAGGTGTGTTTGAAAAGAATCCTATGATGCACAATGGCAGTATCTCCCAGTGGTGACGCTCTAATAAAATTCATTCCGAGTCGCCGTTACACTTCCAAGGCGTTTTTTGTCCTCCAATAACAGTTCGCAGCAGACCTTCTCTCTTTAGAGCTCAGTAGAGCTCGCCATTCACTTCTCGTGTCGCGATCTTTCAATCTGCTTTAGACGTTTGCGACTCCCCCTATGGGTACCTAATAAAACAGTTGCAAACATGATTCGTTCCCTATGTTTCCCATTTGTAATTCAAGGCTTAAAAGTTTTGTTCATGAATGTTTTGTACGTTCATGAACAACGTTCACCCAGTCGTTACTAAGATGTCATTAAGTTTTCTGATTGCTATGATCTATCCTCTATTCATGGCTACTGTGTATTCCTGATACTATACGAAGAGAAGATAGAAGATGCTTGATAGATTCAAAGAACAAAGCAAGCAACACCAAGACACTCACCCAAATAATCGTACCCATATCCGAAGCTGCTCGAACGTTCACATGGGTCACTTGGAAAATTTGTTTCCAGCGACGGCCAGATTAGGGGTTGAAGGTGAAACATTCCAGCAGCATCTGACTGTTGCATCATTGGCGTAGAAGAACAAGTCCAGACCTGTGAAGGACTTTCGACATGTCAACGCAGGAGAACCATAGTTGACGGCAACACGAACAACGGGAAAAGGATTTATAGGTTGCTGCCCTACCATATATTTTTCGCTGAGTATGTATGTTTGTGTTTTTTGGTGAGTGTATATGTGCACATATTATAAATATATGGTAATATGGTAATATATGGTTCTAGGTGAAGAACATGGTGTGAATGGTTGCTTTCATAGTTCGCTGGCGTGCGTACCGATGTGCCGGCGTACCGAGGCAGTGCTAGGGGGGAGGAGGGAGGCAGACGGTCGGTCAGCCCCTTCGAAGGGATGAAAACATAGAAGAACAAGATCAAAAACCAAACAACCAGGGGCTTGTGCAAATGGATTTTGATCTTGTCACTCTTTGTTTACAGCCCTTCGAAGGGGCTGACCGACCGTCTGCTTCCCTACTCCCCCTAGCTCTGCCTCGGCACGCCGGCGGACTATGAAAGAAGCCAATATGGTAAGCCTCAGTAGGGGAGGAACGGTGGGGTGGGGGTGAGATGATTACCTCGTGCGAGAAGCTAGAATGGGGGTTGAATATTTGATTGACTCACCCACCTCGATACCCCTTCCCTTCTGAGGCTCAGACCAAAAGGCTATATTTCTCGGCTAGGAAATGTTAGAGCACATTATTAGCCAATGCTTCAGTGCCAAACACGTTTTTTATGGTGGAACATTTATTCGCCTGACGTACCGATTTTGATTGCTCCGCTTGGGAAGCACAGAAGAGAAGGTCATGCTGGTTGTGACTTTGACTTTGAATGCACGATTTTGGCCTACGAGGACAGTATTGGTGCCAGAAAAACTCTAAAGACTCTCTGAATGAGACACCGAAATCCAAGCATGAATAACAAGAATGGGGGTATCAAGATTACTGATGACCAGTATATGGAAGAGAACTCGTGTGCTAGCGTTTCTCTATCAGAGGTACTAGAAAACAAGCATTTCCATTGTCAAATTCCTTGCTCACTCTGATCATAAGTAAAACTCTACTCTTCCCTGTTGAACACTAATTCCAAATGGCTGAGGACGGTGGTTCATCTGGAGAAGGAAAAAACGAACCATCTATTTTATTTGGTGAGTTATTTTGCCTAACTGCTTATTATTTTACATGCTTCACTATTTTAGATTCTTATACGTTACATTCTAGATTCCGTTACTTTCTAGATTTCTAGACTTCATTAAAATCACACAGCGGCACATTACTCATGCGAACAGCAATGTATCCAGCTGCTCTTCTACCCCAGCTTCCACATAAGTTTCTATCCCTCTCATTTATCAAGCAGAAACTTGGTGTTCGGTTTGGCGGTATGTCGGTATGTCGGTTTGTGTGTGTGTCTGTCCGCCCCAGAAATTCATGATTACGATAAAGGTCGTGGTAGTGGAAAACATAGTCTATCCTACACATCCTTCTTACGTATGAGGTGGGTAGGTTCATGGAGTAGAGAGAGTACCTCGTAATAAAGTGAGTGATGCGGAATGAAAAGGGTACTTCAAAACTGTGATCTCGATCTGTACCGTCACCGTGGTATGCATGTCCTTGAAAAATCGAGGGTGGTAATGTAGTTGGGAAACCTTCGCTTTTCTTCAACAATTTCAATAATTTCAACATAAGGAGGTTAGCCGATGGTTGTGCTCCAAGTCCAGCTAACCTCCTTGTTTGCTTTTCATGAAACCTGAGCATTTGTACTATTATTTGTCAATGCTTCTGTGCCAAACAGGTTTTTTAATGTTGGAACATTTATTCGCCTGAAATTTCGACCAGCTCGTCATTATCAAATGCGTTTTGGAACATTAGAGTGTTACCTCTCAAGCTTGAAGTAGACCAGCTCTTAACTAGTTGCAACTCACACCCATGAACTTCCACCTAATTGTAAGTAGAAATTCCAACAAGTCACTCACGTCAGTTCCGCCAACATCGAGCACTTGCTCAACTTTAGAGACGATAGAGCAATTGAGACAACTCGGTCAACCTCGACCCTTTTCATAGTATCGTGACGTGAGACGTATCAGTCTCCACTATCAAAGCTACCACAGGGATGTAAGGCAAAAGGTCACCAGTTATGTATATTTGCGTCAGTCTTTCCAAGTTTTCAAACTTCATAGGGATAATGTTTCGGCGAGTTCGCCTTCGTCAGAGCCTAAAAGTCGAAAAACCATTGAGATTGACTGTATACTAAGGAGAGATAAACCCAAGACAGTTCTTTAGACTAGAGACCCCTCGAACTCGGTATACAAGAGGCTTACCTTGATCTAAATCGCCGTAGCGTTAGATCGACCACCCAGTGTTAACAGTATGCGCACAATGAGCAAGCCTACCTCCTTTCCGACCTCACCGTAATCTCAAAATTTGCAGAGGTCGAGAAAGGGACAAAAAGAAGAGAAAGGCAGCTAGAGACCCACAAATTAACAGGAAGGAAGAGTGTATGGACGTAACCTGTGACCTCGCTCCCTTTGTCGACCTCTGCGAATTTTGAGATTACGGTGGGGTCAGAAAGGAGGCAGGCTTGCTGCTTAGATCAAGGTAAGCCTCTTGTATACCGAGTGCGAGGGGTCTCTAGTCTAAAGAACTGTCTTGGGTTTATCTCGCCTCACTATAGAGTCAATCTCAATGTTTTTTCGACTTTTAGGCACTGACGAAGGCGAACTCACCAAAACGTTAGCCCTATAAAGTTTGAAATCTTGGAAAGGCTGAAGCAAATATCCTTATCCTTACTATATATAAGCCACAAATGTCCGTGTTTCTGTTTGTCTGTACATATGTCTGTATGTCTGTATGTTTGTATGTCTGTTTCA